AAGAGAGAAAGAATTGGCTACCTGTATTTGCCTATTTTTGTTAGTGTAACAAAATAACTTGAGGATAGATCCATTGTTAAGAAAAAAATATTTAGTTCAGTTTTAAAGGTTGGAATTTCAAACGAGATTACTCCCATTGACTGAACTCTGTCTAGTGGGAGCCCAACTACAGATGGGATCGTTACTATCTAGAGCTCTTGATGAGATTCGTTTTCTCCTACCAATTAAGGGATTAAAACACCAAATCAGTAAGGCTAGCATATCCAGTTGGGGATCAGAGTAGGTCCTACTGGGTTTTTATTTCTAACCAGAGGCACCTGTGCCTCATTTTGAGCATCAGAGCTTGGCCTCACAGTATTACCTGAGTGGCTACAGCAACCTAAGAGGAAGAGCATAGAGCATAATGCAATGTTTACCAGGAAGTATGCCTTAAATGCATCTTTTACTTCAAAAGAGCTGACTCTGGAAGAATTTCTGCTGTTTTTGTTTTTGTGTTTTTACATTTTAAATCAAAATAAAATTACATCACTTTCTCCTTTCTCTTACCTCACTTTGTCCCCTCCCTCCAACCCCTACCATGTCCATCACACTAACTCAAATTGAAAGCCTTTTTCTTGGGTTGTTTTGTATGTGTGTGTATACATATATATCCTAAATAAGTAATTGTTTATAGAGACAATATTGTTTTGTATATATATAATTGTGTCAATATATGCGACCTTAGTCATTGTGCATACACACGAACATACACAGAAAACATAAACACAAACATGCTGAGTCCATATGCAAATTTTAAATAGCATTTTCTCTAATGGAAAAGGCAGTACATTTTGTTTACATTTGCCACAAGCTCACAATGTCCCATTTCAACAATCTTACTGTCACACTAAAGACTAAGTCTCTAGCACATGGGCCCTTCATGATGAACCATATCTAAACTACGGTACCATATCTAAACTACGGTACGGTATCACATAGTAATGTGATAGATAAAGGAGACCTGATTTCCATGGCTCTTCTGAGACTCAAATGTATTGCTCTTCCCATTGACTCTCTCTGTTTTTACTTCAGTTATTGCTTCTCCTTGTCCCCACCCACTCGTTGGTGTGAGAATGATCTGGTAATATATGTTTGTCACCTAACTCTGAAGATGTTTCCATTTTTGGAGACCTCAGATCTTAAAGCCAAGCCATGATGACTCCTTTAGATTTGGCTGTTGATTATAGTCTAATCAGAGTGTCCAAGGTATACAAGATAACGCTGAAAACCAATATTGAAATAATTGTGGCTGGCTTCTGAAGGGAACCAGCAGGTGGCCATAATCACACAATTCTCCTAGTTCTTTGTACCTTGGAATTAAATGAGGTTTTTCAGATTTAACAAAAGAAAATCATCCATTCTCCATTTGAAATGTAAATTGTGACTGGACAACAAATAATATTAAAAACATTATTTGGTATCTATTTTGTTCCTTGATGTGTTTAGTTGTGGTAAAATGATTCTTTTGATTCTGGCATAGTATCCACCTATTATAGAAAGAGAAACAGACATAGAAATAGCAGATATAATGGAAAATTAATTCAATGGGATGAAAGTGGCAACAGTGTACTGTAAGAAATGATTAACAACAAAAGTAGACTTTTGAATGATTTTATGAGGGAGAGAGGGATTTAAACAAGGCAACCATCTGTAATCCTAGCACTCAGAAAGCAGAGACAGGAGTATTACCACTAGTTTGGGCCTAGCCTTCTCTACATACAGAGTTCCAAGCAAACTTGTGTTGATGATAAGACATAGTCTCAAAAAAACGAAATAGAAACAAACAATCAAACAACACCAATAACCCCTTAAACAGTGAAACTGAAGCTGGACCTTGATGAGAGAGGTAATGTGAACATTTAGAGGAGAGAGCACATTTTGTTTTCAGGTAGAAGGAACTCTTAATCATAGGAGTGTGTGGGTGGAATGTAAGGACAAAATGGACCAGGAATGAATTTCATGGGAACAGTCATAGCAAGGTGACTTGTGTCAAAGAGACAAATTGTGGAGGACTTCTGATGAACTGCCTGCCTCCATCTTACGCTTGAAAACCATCTTGTTGTAAAGACAAATTCGGTTCATTCTTGTCTATGATTTAATCTGTTTCTCAAGGATTGAGTTATGCCCCACCTGTAACCTTAACTACAAATGGTTCTCTGTACTGCCTGGAAACAGCAACCATGACTTTGTTTCAAAAGATTGTATGAATACCTGTTCTTATGACCACCCATTATTATGACTATTTTATGAGCACCTTGCAATCATGTCTTTGTTCTAAAAAGCTGAAATGACTATCTTAAACCCCTACCATTATTTCAAAAGGTTATGACTATCTTGTTCTAACTTTATTATTATGGCCACCTTGCAATATTCTGCTTCTATAACTCTGTCTATTCTACATACCACCACCCCCATTTGGAAACCCCACTACTCTGAGCTATAAAAATCTTGTCTTTCTTATGTCCAATGTTGCCTCTCAAACCCACCATAAGGGGAGGCAGCTCCTGTACAGGAATAAAAAAGCTTGATTTAACTAATTTTGTTGGGGTTGGTGATCTTTCTCCTCAAATCTTTGCGATTAACACTTTTCATTGCACATGGAGCATTTATCACTTTCTTTCAGAGTTTGGGACAGGGTAAAAGCGGGTCTGTGTAAAAAGGTGAGAGGCATGGAAACCAATTTTGAAGTTGTTAATAGCAATTGTTCAGAGACAGGGTGAGGACATAAACTGTGTCTTGTCCAGAAGAGACGATTAAGAGTATATGGAATAGGATTTAGTTAGAAGGGTAATACTCATCAACTGAATCCACAGGAAAACTTGATATCCTGATATTTTCTATTAAATACTACTAAAACTCAAACACAAGTTTTGGGAGTGAACGTGTAATATCTGCTGTATGGTCATTACTCAGGAAAAAAGGTGTGTGTGGGAGAGGGGAAGGATGGGGTCTATATTTGTGTTTGGTGTGGGCGCTCATCTTGGAGTTAACATCAGTGAAGGTGGACGCTTAAAAGAAATCCCACACTGGCTCAGAAGTGAGAATAATGGAGGGTTATTTAGTTAGGGGTAGACTCACAAATCAATATCCTCTGCTGAAACGGAGAACAACAACTGAATCCCACACCCGGAAAAGAGGCCTGAAGTGCGCATTACATTGGCATAAATAATATAATAATATAAGAAGCCACACCCCAGTGAACCGGTAACTTAATGGCTACTGGCGGTAGGAATTCCTACAACAGCTCCCCCTTTTGTTTACATAAGAGAGTTCCAAGTCTAATACAAAATTATATGCAATAAGAACAAATATATCAAGCAAGAAACACGGATTAATGTTTCAAAAATTATCCTATTCTAATGAGTTCAAGTCTTGTATAATAAATAACTTGGCCAAGTCATGAGAGGAAAGTAACTACAACTATCTGGTCTTCAACCCCATCGAAGATCAGAGAAGGGAAATAATATTACTTGAGTAAGCAGGAAGTGCAATCAAGCAACTTCCAAAAATGTACAACAAATGACAGAGACAACAGGCTACCTTGGCAATCACCCAAAGTCTCATTTGCAACGTTGAAGCAATCAACTTTGGCTAAAGCCTAGAATAACTGACAGACCATTTTCAGAGGCAGGAAAATTTTCAGAACTGTCTTACCCTGTCTTGGCAAGATTTGACAGTCTTTTTCCTTGTGTCCAGCTTATCAATTTCCGGATACCATGTACCTTGTGAGTGGTTGAGAAATGGGCAGCTCCTTGCCCAAAGGCCAATTGTGCCAAGAAGAAAACAAACTCTGAGTGGAGTGTTTTTGGTGCTCAACATTCTCTCTGAAATAGATCAGTGCTGCCAGGAGCAATCGTGTCTCACTTCAACAGAAGTTACTTAAATGCCATATTGTATGGCTCTTTGAAGTGGTTGAAGATTACCTATCTATGCAGAATGCAATCTCTATATATCTAAAGAACCTGATTAATCTAACTATAAGTATGACAAACATAGATGACTATTGAGCTATAATTCTTAATACCTATATAACTTAAAGACTAAGACTTAATATTAGAATATTATACAATATTATACAACCATGTAACAAATGAGGACAATGACCTCAAAATGTAAGCAATGTATAAGTATCTTTATCAGAGGTAGAAATCTACATTGCAATATGATAAATATATGCTAAAATTGTATTAATATACAAAAATATTTTAAGCAGAGGTAGAAGCATGCATGCATGCAATATGAAAAAACATCAGGTCTCTTCCTCAGCCAGTCTTACTTTATGTATTGAGGCAGTATCTACTAAATAGATATATCTCCCCTATTGCCCCCATTAGAAGACACTTTCCAAGTGCCTTCTTTCTCTGCCCTGTATAATGTGCTGTACACCTCTGCTTGGGGGCTTGGTGCCATTGCTTACTTTTACCTGTGGCCTTTTGCTGAGTTGTGCACCTCAGCAATCCTTCCAGAAGATGGCCTGGCCTCCTTATCCCAGTCTATAGTGTGAGTCTTTGCATATATTATGCCCATTACCTCAGTATAAGCACGATAGGATGTTGGTGATGAAGGAGGTGGGGAGCCCATCTTGCAGTGTGCACTGGCAGTATAGGAAGATCCAAGCCACAGGGCCAAGTCCCTAAGATGGTGAGTGAGGAGAGGTGAAAGGCAGGGTCCCTCCTGTGGGCTCACTGCTGACTCAGAAACAAAACCCCCCTCCTCCAGGACTTCGTGGCTCCATCTGGGGAAATCCTAATCCTTTCCCTCTTCCTTGGCAGGGTTCCTGCCGCTGGAGCGGGAGGCGGTGAGAGGCGGTGCGCTTGGGTCAGGGGGAGGCGGGGGGGGGGGGGGGGGGGGGGGGNNNNCTCCACTAACTTTGTAGTTCAGCTTCAGGGACCGCGGTGACATTCTGCTCGGCGCCGCGGGCAGGCCAGAGCCTCGGGAGGGGACTCCACTAACTTTGTAGTTCAGCTTCAGGGACCGCGGTGACATTCTGCTCGGCGCCGCGGGCAGGCCAGAGCCTCGGGTGAGAAAGACAGGGCACAGTGCAGAAGCCATCGCCCCCTGCAGAGCCGCCAGCGCATCTGGATGGAAGGAGCCGCGACCCCAGACGCAGGCTCGATGGAGCCATTCGCCCTCCCGGGCCTGCTCTTCACCACCACCCTGCTGCTCCTGGCCCTGCGCCTCCTCACCCAGCGCACCAGGTAAACGCCAACGCTGACATGGCCACGCATGCGCGGGGTCGCGGCCGCACGACCTCGTGGGCACCCGAGTTCCTTCGGGATGGCGGGTGCAGGCAGACCTTGCTCCGCGAGCCTCTGGGTGTCCTAACAAAGGCTCTGCACGCACCTCTGCACGTACTCACGCCCAGGTTACAGCTGTTCTGTCCAACCTTACTTGCTGCGCAGCACAGTCTCGGGCTTCCCAGGTTTGGTTAAGCATCCTGCGATGGCCTTTGCCTGGGCCCATGCATATTTCATGACCCAGAATTCCCTGCATTTCAAGGAGAGATACTTCTTGAATTTTATCTAGTTCAGAGAGAAATGTTTTAAGAAAATTCTGGTGCGCGGTGTGGGTGCTGCTCAGTGCCTCAGTTTATCTAATTGTACCTTACCTGGAAAATTAGAAACAACAGAATCTACAGATCGTGATCATGGGACTTTTGTGAGAAGCAAAGGTGTTAATAGTGTTTATGCCTTCGTTCTATTTATTTTTCTCAGGACAACAAATAGTAGTGACAGGAAAACTCAGAAGTGCGTAACTATCTGCCTGGAAACGTGGAAGCAGAGAAATGGGAATAAAATTGTTCACTTCCCATTTATTTTGTTTTTCCCATTAGTGCCTTATCTTTTTCATGCACAGTTTTCATGGCTTTTGAAAAAGAAACAGGTTAATTTAAGAAGAGTATTACTAATTAAATATCTATCAATGTTTTGGGGACAATGACACAATCGTAACTCATACAAATAAATATCCGTGGGAGTTTTTGAAGTACCAGTTGAAAAATACTTAAAGTAATAGTATTTGGATTTGCTCATATGTGACTTTTCAGAGAACTTTCTGGAACTTTGCCTTTCCTTTTATGTAGTCTTCTACACTCCTACAGCTTGCAGAGCTCAGGGTATTAGGTTTTTAACTTCAGGCTCACGTGACTCTACACCCTGTCAGTTAGGTCACACTTCTAGGAATATAGATGCCAAGGCTGTTTCTTCTAATCTCCATTTTCGTGCAGGGCAGGGGCAGTCAAAGCAAACCAGTTCATTCTAGACCAGAGGGTAACTGGGTGAGAATGTGGAACTCAGGAGGTCCACGGGGAGGTAAAAAAGCAAGGAAAGCTTTCCTCAGGGCGTTCAGAGAACAGGCCAGTTTTTCTCTGTTCACTAAGTATTATTTGCTATCATGTGCATTCCATCGGTTGGCAGTTCCTTCACACCAGGAAGACTAATGCAGGTCTGTGAGGCACTGCTTTCTAGATCAGTTCGTAAGTTGTAGTTCACTATGGAAATATATGAGTATATTCCGGAAAGACCCACGTGTCTGATGGCTTCTCTTTTCTGTGTCTGGACAATTTATTCTATTACCATAGAAAAGTCCTGTATGATGTCACCTGTAAAAGAGAAACTATGCCTATAAAAAGACATTCTCAATATTTTGTGTATAATCATGTTTGAACACCTATTAGTGAAAATGGACAAATAGAGTGAAAACACTCTATTACAACTTGCCTTTCCCACTGTATGGTATTCTTAGGGGCCATTGATAATGAACAGAGAGAGTAACAATCTCTCTCTCTCTCTGTCTCTCTCTCTCTCTCACACACACACAAACACATATACATACACGCACCTTTGGGATGTTGTGGATAAAGGAGTTGTAATAGTTATGCAACTTCCCTCCGTTACAATTTATGCCACTACTAATAATCTTTTAAGTCCCTGCCATACCACAATTCATTTTGCTTGTGCTAGTCTGATAAAGAAAAATAAAGCTTTCCTCTCTCTCTCTCTCTCTCTCTCTCTCTCTCTCTCTCTCTCTCTCTCTCTCTCATGTGTGTGTGCGCGCGCGCGTGTGTGTGTGTGTGTGTGTGTGTGTGTGTGTGTGTGCAGGCATACACGTAAAAGCCGTTGCAGGTCAAATCCAGGGCCTTGGACATGCCAGGCAAGTACTATACCACCGAGCTACTCCACAAGGAAAGCTTCCTTTAAAAAGTAAAACATTCCAATTTCTATTTACTTTTGATGTCGTTATCTCTGAAAGTTTCTTTAGTAACTTATTTTCTTTTTAGTTATTTTTTTTTTCAGAGTCAAAACTGACCCAGGGCCTTGTATGGGCTAGGTAATCACTCACCTCTAAGTCACACCCTCAGCTTTTTCTTGTACCGCTCACGGAACTTCGCACCCTTCCAACTCTACTGCAATTATTTCACATTTTACTTCATAGTTAGAGTTTCTGCATACACATCCTTATTTAGAAAACATTTATTTAGAGTCATGACATGCTAAAAACGCCCACCAGCATTGTCCCTCATCACCAACTAATGTCTAAGAAGATGGTGTACATACGATGGTTATATTCAATTTTTACCCTGTGAGCAATTTTGTCTGGAATGCTTGTAATACAGTGTTTTACAGGAACATGGTTTACCCACAAAACGGCTAAGATTAGGGGAGAACAGGGCAAGCCAGAGGTCAGCCATTGCTCTTGCCCGTTTATCAGATGTCTTCCTTTTTTTTTTCCTCATCCCCTGCCCCACGCCCACACCTTGCCATCTCTGTTTCTTTTTGAGACTGGATCTCAGGTTAGTCTGCACTGCTGGGATGAAGTGATCCTTCCACTTTAGTAGCTGAGACTAGAGGGCATGTCTCTGCTTTCAGGCCACCTGGAATTTTTGAGGGGGTGGGGTGGGATTCCTTTTCCTTTCCAGGAAGATGATGACTAGTGAGGCTGTCAACCACAGATACCATCATAGTGCTGCAACAGGGAGAGGAGACAGTTGTCTATTGACCAGAAAGCAAGGCTTCACGAGATACTGAGTCTGTCAGTCCCTTGATCCTGAACTTCCCAAGCTCTAGAGCAGTGAGAGATAAATTTCTCTTTCTTGTAAGCCACTGGACTTGTGGTCTGATGTTACAGTAACTGCTATGCATTAAAGATGATGAGATTCAAGCCTAACTGTCCTCTAAATGGGGGCAGTAGCTGAACTCTGGTCAGTCTACAGCTCCAGAAGCTAGTTTCTCAGTATTTAGGTTTCTTTCCTTGATTTTGGTTACTCCAGTCACATCAAGCTGGCATCTCAAGTGATAGTGTAGCTTTTTGGGGGTTGGGGGGGGGGCAGGCAGTACTTCATCTTTGGTCTCCTTTCCCTTCGATTTCTTTAATGTTCTTAGTATCTACATCATCTGTTTTTGGGTCCTATTTTTTAGTTAATATTTAATTTTTATAGTCCTCTGTGATGATGACAATTTCCAGGCAACTTCACGTTTCTAGAACCCAAATTCTATGTCAAATTATCAGATATTCAGTGATAGCTCTAACCAGGTAATGTGGAATGCACATGCCTGTGCACGTGCGTGTTTTGTTTCTCTTTATTTCCAAGATTTATTTCTACTTACTTTATGTGTATGGATATATTGCTTACATATATTTTTTTCAGGTTTCAAATTTTTAATCAAGATCCTTGAGCCACTTGGAGTTGATTTTTGAGCAGGTAGAGAGCAAGGGAGGGATTTAGATTTACTTTTATGCACATGGATAGATAGTTTAAAAATCGGTTTTTAAGTACATGGTTACTGGTTAAACTTTATCTCCATAACCTTTTGGAATCATTGACCTTTTCCTTGTCTTCTTAGCTTTGATTATTCCAGTATGATCATGTATGTAGCATAGCAACATGAATTCAAGGTCCTATGTGATCACTCGTCTCTATCACTCATTAATATTCCTGTATATGAATGTGTACAGCAGGTTCTTCTACCTACTGAAGAACGTCTTAATGGTTTCTAATTTTGGACATTTGTGAAGAAGGTTGCTAAAAATATTCATGTGAAGAATTTTGTGTAGGCTTAGGTGTTCAACTCTTTGGTAACACCAACAGCACAATGGTTTTGCATTTTAAAGTATACTTAATTTCTTTATGAAAATGCCAAAGTGGCTATGGCATTCTGCTTCTCTACCTGTCGTGAATGAGTGTTCTCATTGATTCACACCCTTGTCATCACTTGGTGCTTTCAGTGTTTAGTTCTCAACCTTCTACTAGGTGATTTGGTACTTTTTTCATTATTTTGATTTGTAATTCCATCATGACTTTTCATATGCTTGTTTGCTGTCCGTATGTTTCCCTTGATCAGTTGTCTGCTCGGGTGTTTTGCCCAGTTTTAATGAGATTGTTCTGTCTTGTTATTGCTGATTCTCAAGTGTTCTTCATACACTTTCGTCATCAGCCTTTATTAGTCTCTGATTTGAAAGTGTTTTCTTTTAGTCTATGGATTGTTTTTCATTCTAAACAACATCTTTTTTTTGTACTTTAAGGCAATTCAGCTTATTGATTTTCTGCTCTGTTGATCATGCTTTTGGTATTATATTTAAGAAGTTACTACAATATCTTTTACATCTTTCTTTTTGTTAATGTTTTTCTGCCAATGTTCACATTAACAACTGAAGTTTTATACTACTCAAAGTCAATGTGGTTATTTTTGAGTTACATTTGTAGATTTTCTGAGAAAAGGCAGTTTCATATCATTGTGTGCACCCAGAATTGCTGAGTTAAATCTAAGTTTTCTCTATTATCCATCTTGAGATCCTCAAGGAATATAGTATATCTCTTTGAACCATGATATATTAAATACTTGTCAATATAGCACATATATGCTGTGCACTTGACTCACTGGAAACCTGAGATATCCAGAAAATGATAATAAATTATCATCCACTAGTCATTGAGACTTTATTCAACAGTTTAGACACCTAATGGCAAGAAAGTAAACTTAAAGTATATTTTTCCTGTATTTTTATTTTGTGTGTGCGTTTTACCTTCATGTAGGTCTATGCAACATATGCATGTCATGTCCACAGAAACAAAAAGAGGGCAGTAGAACTCCAGTTCGTTGCGAGCTTCCATGTAGGTGCTGGGATTCAAACCAGGGTCCTCTGGAAGAGCACTGAGTGCTCTTAACTCCTGAGCCATCTCTCCAACCCCTTTGAAAAT